ACAGTAGGCAGAGAAGTGGACAGTTCAGCTGGTGCATCCAGCTGAAGCTCTGAGGCAGAAGTGTTTCATGAAGGTTGAAAGAGAATGCATGGGTTCTGGAGCAAGATCAAAAGGAAACTGGACACTGTATTTGGTTATACCTTGGACTCATGGCTCTTTATTCTAGGATTGACATATAGCAATCTGACACTTGCACCATATGGCATTCATTTAGCTCAAAAGCTGCTATTTATTGGCCAAAAATATATGTTACTTAGTTGGACCAAGAATAAACCCTCTTTGATTTGTTTGAGAAGATTTTTGATTTGTTTCAGAGAATCTGTGCTTCACTAAAAGGGAATGTAGATATCTTTAGATATATTTGGTCAACTTTTGTTTACACCTAGACGGTGTTACATATCTGTGCAATGAAAAACATTGCTTATTTTGATTTTATATTTAATTTAAGTCAGAGAACTTTACGTTTTACTGGTGAAAATCAACAAAGATTAATTAAAAAAAGAAAAACAATACATCCATTGTGCTCTACTTCCTATAATGATGATTTACTTGCAGCTAAATTTAATTTACTCATACATTTGCCTTAGATTACATTGTAAAGATACAATCAACAAGTAAAAGCAAAAGAGGTCTGGTAAAAAAAAAAAAGATGACAGAACAATTATAAAAAGTACATGACTTTTAATAATAATATTAATATTGATAAGAATATGAATATATATATACTGTACACACACACACACACTATCAGTCAATTTTTTTTTAACAGTAAGATTTTTTTAATGTTTTTTTTTAAAGAATTCTCTTCTGCTCACCAAGCCTGCATTTATTTGATGCAAAATACAGCAAAATCAGTATAAAAATATTGTGAAATATTTTTACAATTTAAAATAACTGCTTTCTATTTGAATATATTTTATGCTATGATTAAAGCTAAATTTTCAGCATCATTACTCCAGTCTTCAGTGTCACATGATCCTTCAGAAATCATTCTAATATGCTGACTTGCTGTTCAAGAAAAAATTATTATTATTATCATCATCATCATCATCATCATCATCATCATCATCATCATCATCATCATCATCATCATCATCATCATCATCATCATCATCATCATCATCATCATCATCATCATCATCATCATCATCATCATCATCATCATCATCATCATCATCATCATCATCATCATCATCATCATCATCATCATCATCATCATCATCATCATCATCATCATCATCATCATCATCATCAATATTGAAAACAGTTTAGCAAATTTTTTTCAGGATTCTTTGATGAATAGAAAGATCCAAAGATCAGCATTTATCTGAGATAAAAAGCTTTTGTAACATTTCAAAATTTTTTTAAATAAACGATAAACAAATTAATAAATAAAAATAAAGAGACGTCTTTAAAAAAACATAAAAAATCTTAGTGTTCAAAAAACTTTATATGTATATATATATATATATATATATATATGAGTAAGCCATAACTGTTTCCAGTGAACTGCTGAAAAACACAGCTGATTAACTAACCACAATAGCACACATTGCTCATTGATTTCCTTGTTAAACCACATGAACTCTCCCTCTCGATTCCAGAGAAGGCCGATCTCTAAACATCAAATCCGTTGCACTCCTCCGCCGAGCCAGAGAAGGGCGCTGGGCTGGCCATGGGACCGGTAAATACTGTCGTGGAAGAGGAAGCGGCGTTGGTGACGGGCGTGACAGGTGGTGTGACAATGGCAGGGGTGAGTATCCGTTTGAGGGCATCCACGATCTCCTGGAACGGGTCGGGTGCACTCATCTTGCTGAATCCTTTGTGGTCCGGTCTTCTGTTACGGAAGGAGACTCACACAGAGGATTAGAAAAATACAATAATGTTTATTTTCAGCAAGTGGTGTGGATGGTTCGGGCAGGTGAGTATTGGAGCTTAATATCAGTCTTTAAGGAAGATGAGGGGAGTAACACCGTATTTGGTCCTCACAGGAGATTGTGGAAGGGAGACAGAGGACTGCACACAGCTCAGTTGAAGAGTACACAGAGTTTCCACGGAGCTGATGACTGGAACGGACAAGGGAATGGAACACAGGAGAACACACTGGAGGAAACACAGGAGGTAAGTATAACAGGAAGGTAAGTCTTTCAATGTATCTCCCGGATAGCATAGAGAGAGAGTCCACTTCTTTGAAATGAGACCGGACACTGGAGTGAAGTGAGGTGTGTGCTTTTGAAGGGGAGCTGATGATGATTGCAGATTTGTGACAGGTGCGTGTGATCAGTACCCAGGTGATGGTGCTCGCTGTGATTGGGAGGTGGCTGAGCCTGGCCGATCTGTGACAATTATAACTAATTAAAAGCTAATCAAATAAATACATAAACAATAGTAAATATACTTACTATTTATATATTTATATATATTTTAAATCCACCAATATTTACTAATATTTACTATATTTCACTGGGGGAAGAAAATATAAATTGAATTTACTACATTTTTTTTTAAGGAAAGTGGTTGCAATCAATTTATTTTAGCTACATTTAAATAAAAAAAATTGATTTGTTTATCATATATATTTTGTATATATATATTTATCATATATATATTGTCAAATTTAAACTTTTTTTTTTTTTAAATGTAGATAAAATAAATTGTTTGCAACCACTTGCCTTAAAGAAAATTAATCATTTTTTTCAGTGTACATAAGTCTTTCATATAAAGCCTACAATGTAATAACTTTTACTTATGGCAAAATATACGTATATTTTTAGCGTGTTTCCTAAAAAGATTCAAAAACGCGCCCCTTATCTAGTCAGTCCCGTGACGTCAGCCCGTCCAGTCACAGCTGAGCTGAGCTCACTCAAAGAGTTACGAAAAACAACAGGTAAGCAATGCATTTCAAGCTTCTTTATTCCTATTTAAAGCACTTTTAAACGTTTAGGATTTATTGTCGTATCTTATTATTTGAAGATTAACCAGCTCAGCAATGCTAATGTATTAGCTAGCAAAGAGCCATTACATCAAAGTTATCAACGGCAAGTGTTAAATATACAGTGTTTTACACCACAGTTTGTCAGTGGAAAAAAAAAAAATATATATATATATATATATGTATTTAATTTAAACAAATACCATACCTTTAATTAGTAAATGTATACACTAATACATTACTAACCAACCAACGGTTAAATTACTAAGCTAATGTTGGCTTATTGCTGTAATAAAAACACATCGCCTCAACCGTGACCATCGAGATGGATGGAAACACTCAGCACGACAAACTAGCGATGTGTTTTGTGCTTATTTATTTATTTTTTATTAATGCCAAGGTACCAAATATAAAAATACAGAGAATATCAACATTACTAAAAAAAAAAAAAATTTTTTTTTAAAGAATTCTCTTCTGCTCACCAAGCCTGCATTTATTTGATGCAAAATACAGCAAAATCAGTATAAAAATATTGTGAAATATTTTTACAATTTAAAATAACTGCTTTCTATTTGAATATATTTTATGCTATGATTAAAGCTAAATTTTCAGCAGAGGTGACATTACATGCAAAGCACCATTTATAGACGTATGTAACAACAAATAAATAATACAAAACGAAAGATTTAGCAAAATGAATTAAATAAATTAACCGTTTTAAAAGCCTTGAGATTA